CATTTGTTTTTTCTCACATTAAAAAAGTTTTAAACAATATACTGTAGTGGGTGCATAACAGCAAACTAAAAATAATTATATAGTAGAACGGGCAGTCTCTTAGTTGTCATTAAAATGAGACACTTCTGAAGGCTGTTGAGAAAAAAATTTCCATGATATTAGTTCAGAACTTAAATCTGTCCCATGTCATCTCAGGCTCAGAACATCTGGGGAGAGTGCCCCCTCAGAACATCTGGGGAGGTCGTGGCCCTGAGTCACTACACTGAGCCCGTGGGTTCAGCTCAAATCATCTCCACAAACCACACCCTTACTCTGGACCTTGATCCTCTTGTCTCAAGCAAGAGAGGTAGGCAAGGGGCTGCTGCCCTCTTCTCTCAGCAGTGCAGGCATCCTCTCATTGAATTTGCATCATGCCACTTTAAAATATAAACCAATCTTTACAAAACCAGAGAAAACTGTAATAAAAGTTTCCTCCAATAATAATCTATATTACCTAAAACCTTAGGAAATGTACAGAGCTGATTTTCTGAGTAAACTATGGCAATGAACAAGCCCAGCTGCATTTCACAATAAAGCTGCACAAGACAGAAGAACTGCTCTGTGAACGAGGGCAAGGGATGGGGTGAGAAAATCACTGAAAAATATTAAGTCCCTTGAGCACCACGGGATGTGCAATTTTCATCGTGCTTCGAGACGTACTTGTGTGGCCTTGTTGCTTCTATTGATCACCGTAGGTCTTTCCTAATAGAGTTACAAGGCATTTTCAGTTGCAGACTTAGAAACCTGTGGGAAATGGGATCCAATCATCTGGCTGCTGTGCTCCTGTAAGGCCAGCTCTGTCTTGTTGCTACTGCTCTGTTGGGTTTTAAACACAATACCAGCACATCTATGGCTGTGAAGCAGAGAGCAGGGACTGTGCAGCACGGGTTATGAATTTCTGTGAAGAAAGAACTGAATATTTCTGGTCATTTACAAAGTTCAACTAATTTTCTTATTATTTTTCTTTGTTATGAAACTACATGTCTGATTTCCAACAGGGTTTTGAGTGTAGGAAGAAAGTGGGAACCATTAAGAGGTATTTTATGCTCTTTCAGCACCCCAATAGGCATAGTAATGAATGAACAGAGAGCATTTTGTAATGTTATGCTGAGGCAGAAAATATTGGAAATACTCACAGAAATCTCAGTGAAAATAAACATTACTTCAAGCAAGAAAACCAAGGCACAGGGAATCTCAGTAAAAAATCTGTATTTTGGGTTCTTACTTGGATCAAAATAAACAAAAGACATTTGTGTTTTGCTTATCAGATCTGGAATAAAAGATAATTAAAAAAGAAGGGGAAACTTGTACATTAAAAAAATCTCGACTGAAAATATTGCACGAACAAGTGACCTACCACAGCCTGTGACTTAGAAACTTAAAACTGAAATAAAATACAATCCACTTTCCTCATGTAATATTAGCAATGGCAATCTAAGATGTTTATCTATTAAAAAAAATGTCAAGGTAAAATTCAAGGCAAGCTCTATCCAGCCAAGGAAGGACTCCTAGAGGTTCAGGAGAGTCAGCTCAGGACTTCTAACAGAGAGCAGCATAGCTGAGTTGCAAATGTGGGAGAAGGAAAAAGGATTCTGTTACATGCAGAATCTGATATTAAAAAGAACAACAACAACAAAACCAAAAAACAAAAAAACCCAAACAAACAAACCCCACAAGATGCTTTATGGAAGAATTTATCTTCTCAAGAAGAACACATCAGTGGCCACAAGGACTAAATAGAGGTTCATCACTGAAGAGCAGTAAAGTGGGTTTGCTCCCCCCTTGTTTCTGTGCTGGCCCCTCCTGCAACATGCATCTTTCATCACATCAGTGTGACAGCTCTGACATCAGTCATACCCTGAAAAGCTAAAACACTTTCATGTTTGATTTGATAGTCAAGATCTCCTTACCCTTACAGTTTAGCCATAAATATATCCATCATGGTCAGGAGGTCCTTCCCAGGAAACAACACAATGCAGACACATTTATATGCCTATAAGCTGAAAAGCGCACTCAATTGCACCACTGTAACTAAATGCTTACACTGGCTTTGGTGAAGTTCACCAAGATGTGAGGAAACAGTTTCTGTGGTTCACATTCCCCTCTGCAAGACGGTATCTAAAGAGACTGTGTGAGCAAGAGTGTGTGGGGGGGAAAAAAGCACCACTTAAAACTGAATGAACACAGCACAAAAGTACATATGAACTTTTAACAGCCCAAAGAGGATGACATGGTCCATGAAGACCTGCCCTCATAACCTCAGGAAGTACAAATCAATCTGTGTTTCATCATTTGAAACTTGAACTTCTAGCTAGTAGCTCTGTGCTCTTCCCCCTGCCTTCTTCAAAAACTCCTCCTTGAGCTGATTTACACTATTTGCTTCTACTGCTGACTTCGGCAGTTTGTTCCAGACTGTATTTCAACTACCCTTTGTGTAAAACTGTTCTGTCTGAATATATCGGAGTCCCTAAATTCTGGTACACATATTGGAGTGGTTACAGAAGTAATTTTACTGTGGTTGGCAGCTGGCCTAACTCGTGCTCTGATCTCTCCTCCCCTCCCTCAACCCAACAGTTAATACTTTGCCATCAAAGTCAGGGCTGCTGCAAAGAGAGGCTGCTCCAGCCAAGTGCCCAGGGGGACAGTGCTTGAACTTGTCACATACTGGCAGGACACTGTGGCCAGAGCAGCCTTTCTAACCTTTAGAAGGGGACCAAAGTAGGGAAGAGCAAAGAGTAAGCAAATAGAGAGGAGCAGGACTCTACGTCTTACTGTGTTAAACAATTTGATCCTATTCACAGACCCTTTATCTGCTTTCCACAAACATTTTCATAAGTGTTGACTAAAAACAAAACTGTCCATAGAACTAAAGTTATTAGTATAAATTCTAAAAAAATTTTAATATAGATATTTGTGAAAACTGAACTTTGTTCATTTTTTTTCATTTTGGATGAAAAAAAAGGACTAAATTTATTGGAGTCTCAACTGCAGCTGTAGGCTGGCAATTAAGTGGCTGTAAAGAAGTGGGAGAGTGAATAGCAGCCCCTAGATCTTGAATAAATTGTCAGCTGATCTTAAACAGGAAGTACAGGATTCTTAATTTTGACTTCTGAGGATCTACATTTTCTAAAAGATGATTATTTGCAAGTGTCTTTTTAAATCCACTTTTGTGCATGAACTAAGGTTAGCAAAGAGGCAGATAATCCATCAAGTGTGCCATAACTTTTAAATGAAGGTGACATATTTTTCCCAGTCAGAACAACTTTCATCAGGAATATTTTTGGAAATTTAGAAAATCTCTTTGATGTCAAAAAACTGTTCTCACATTCTTTTGAAGCAGACAAAAGGTCAATGTTAATTGCAATATGTTGTAAATCATATAGATTACTTTCAAGAAAATATTTAAGGGAGATATCTTATATGTGACATTCATTCTTCAGCCAGCCAGACATGGATGATGTTTAATTTATAAAGATTTAAAAGGATGGAAGTCTCTTGCAAAACACAGAATTTAATGAAATTCTTCTGTTTTGTTACCAATTCACAGATATCATCGCTTCTTATTTATGGAGAAAAGTGTATTAATCATCACATGCAGAGTTGCAAATTCAGCAGAAACATAAATTATCAGCCCTAAACCTCATATTCTTCCAAAGGATCCATAAAGCTAAAATTTTGAATAGCTTGGAAAGAACAAATGGACAAGAAAAGATAATGCATCTTTTGAAACACAAACCTGCAAAGATGTTATGCTCAATTACTCTGACAAAAGATTTGGAAACCAACAATATCCCCTGTGGAATACCACTGCTAAAATGGAATGCTAAATCAAAAGCTCAAAGTTAAGCAAGAATAATATACCATAAGCCACATTAAATGTGTGTCATCCTTAAAGCTAGAACCCACTTGGGTATTTATGAAATAACTATTTCTACTTTTGGGGGGTGGGGAAAGAGGGGGGAAGAGTTCAGATTAGTAAAATATTAGTAGAAGTACCACTCTGGATGTCACATGGAGGAATAGTGGGACTGGGCAGGATGCATCCCCCACTGCAAGTCTTCTTGTAACCAGCCAGAGAGTTCAAAGGTTGTTTTACAATCTAAACAAAGCTTCATAGACAACAAAAAACATGACTAGGACCTAAGGCAGGGAATTTGCTGCTTGGAAGGGGTTTAGAAGGAGCTGTGACAGTTATGGAGGCCAACAGAAGGCTGCTGTGTACAACCAAGGATTTCCAGCAAGCCACTGGAAAAGGGTGCTGCAGGAACCTCAGTGATGCCACGTTGCACTGGAAGATGTGCTTGTTTTATTTTCAAGGAATGCTTTCAGCCAAGATGCAAAAAGAGCAGGGTTTGCACGAACAAAAAGCTTCCATCCACCAGAAGAAACAAGGATGCATCCAGACACCTACTGTGGGATCAGGGCAGGGGAGCTGTGGGGAGAGATGTTTTCCAGGCAGCTGATGTTATCAGCAGTGCTCATCACCGCATCAGTGTGGATGTTTGGGAAGCTGCCGCATTTGGGACACATCTATCCCGACACTGATGTTGAGTAACAAGGAACGGAATGTGGGCTGTTTCTGAGGGACAGGAATGACGTTGCCAAAAATGCACTAAGAATACAAGTCCAATTTAGGCCAGTCAGTTCTTATTATCTTCACTGAGATGGCAAGTCCATAATTTTGGCTGCACAGAGAAAAGGGATCATCGTTTTGAACCACAGGCCTGACATGCAGAGCTGCTGCACACGCAGCCGGGGAGGGCCTCAGTACACAGTAGGTGGGTACTGGATATCTTGAGTTCCTGTACTAGGACATAAGTGATAGGATTACATAAAAGTAAAAAAAACCTAGGAAAATTTGGGTGAATTGTGTTATAATTTTAGTGTACCTGCTCTGGATGTTTCCCCTGAATATCCAAAGTCTGTGCCCTAGATAACAGGGGTGCTGCAGGATCAGCTCTGCTACACTCCTTGTTCTCCAGACAGATATGCCAGTCAGCATGGGATCATTACTCACCTGGAAAAGGATGAATTTGTTGATTGATGTTAAAGGCTGATAGAGAAGTTGAAAGGACAACAAACAAGGAGAAATACAGAGCACACAACTGTGGTTTTAAAGTTAATGGATTTTTCCCATCAGGTAATGCTGCATATGAAATAATAATGGTGCTAACTAAAACATTAGTTACTACTTGATGATGACACTTTACATCTTTCTGTAAACCTCTTATTGACACTAGCAGAATCTCCTGTGAATAAGAGAGAATAATGTCCTACATCAATATCTGGCATATGTAATGTGTTTATATAATCCAGTCCTCTTCACAGAATTAATTTGATCTGTCTGGTTTGGATCTTGTACTGTTGGTTACCCGTGCTCCCCGTGTGCTTTTATTTCTTGAAGATGCAGCTTGTTCTGTTTTTTTGGCATCTTGGCTGCCTATTGAGTGTGGGGAAAAGCACAGACTTGATGGAAGTCTACTGACAATCACTGTTGCTGAACCAGAGCTGTGTTCGTGTGGGATACAAACAACAGCCACTCATCCTTCAATTTGTGAACACCAAATTGACAGGTAGCTCTTAGAGAAGTTTCACTTCTAAATTATTAAATAAAAGAGAAAGAAAGAGGGAAAAAAAAAAAGCTAAGAAATTAGCGACAGTTACTGAATTACTCCATTGAACAATACTGATTGACAAATTCAGTCCTAAAAATCAGAATTAAAATTAACTGCATTTACCACATCAGTCAGTCACATTGCAGAGTTTGAAAGTATGGCATGAAAGATGAACAAATGCTGTGAAAGATAAAAGCAAAATGCAATTATAATACAAAAAATATTTGCAAATTATATTTTATACAGGAGTAACACATCCTCACAAGTTGGAAAACTTTGCATTACCCAGAGGGAGTAATTGCTTATCTTAAAAATTTTTCAAAAAGTTCTAATGCAAGGGATATAGCTATCAATCAAAATCAAATTAAAAGGGTTTATGGCAAATGAATCAAAGCAGTACAATTTTATTTTTCTGAAGAGATTTATTTACATAGTGAGATTAAAAATGTCTCAGATTTATGCACCCACTCTAGAAACATGAATTTCCTACCTTTGAAACCTTTAATGCAATAACCTTTACCCTGGTTTGAGATAAGCCTACGTCAGCACTTATAAAGTAAGGTCTTTCTAGCTGTTTGGTCCAGTATAATAAACCATCTTCCTCCTTCTGCATTAAATGATAACATTTATTCCTTTAAATCCCTCTTCCTTTTATCCAGAATTTTCATTCTGTTTTCCTCCTCTTCCATTGTTCTACCTCCAGATCTAAAGGAATTCCAGGAAACTTTCCTGAGAGATTCCTCTAAGAAAAACAAGAATATTTCTCTAGAAACACATTTAGGACTAAAAGGCTTGTTTGGAATAAAATCAGTTGTAGCACTGCCTAGGATTACACTGGAGACTTAAAAGATCCACAGCTTTACTTTCTCTGCTGATGCACCACAGGGTGCACCCATCCAAGGAAGATTGCTATACCAAAGGAAAAATTTGTGCTACTTATACACACGTGGAGTAACACAAGCACAGAGAAGCACATTTTCTTTGCTGGCTTCTGTCACTAAGATCGTCTTCCTGGATTTAATTATTTAACACACCAAAATATCAATCCTAAGTAGCCATCTCATCTACCACCTACCTTTCAATTAACTTCACTTTTCCCAGATTTTGACCCACAAACACTGACAGTTTCCCCTTAGGAGTACCCATAGAAGTTTTATTTCTTACTAGCCTTCAAAGACTCATATTTGTTGTTCCTTCTTCTTTTTTTTTTTATAAAGTGCATTGCCAATAACATACAAAGAGAGCAAATACAGCTAGGGCAGAGTATTACAGAAAGGACTCATGGAATATTGCCACACATTTTTAAAATTGTACAGCTGCCCAGGACTGGTAAGCTACTGAGCTGTGCTCAGTGTTCTTCTACAAGTAAAATAGATGTCCAAAGCACAGAAAGAGCACCTTATTATTCATGGTGCATCTTAAGCACTGTGGCAGTTTCCCTCTGAAAAACCTGAGAGGAGGAATTATTAGCAGGGCACTGAAGGGACATGCTCAGTTAGTTAACAAACAAGGCACACTTACTTCGTTAGGCTGTGCCATACATGGATACCTGCTTCCTGCATCTCCATAATCACAGTGACAAGGAGCAGGACTTCTTCTGCTTGCTATGAAGCTTTCTGGATCATTGGAGATGATTTTCAGAGCCTTGCTGCACAGAATCTGCCAATTTGTGTTCAGGCTCTTTTACAGGCTGGAACAAGTAGCTGAACAAGCACCTGGCACAAGAGGCAAGTCCGAGTGCCCAGGCTGGACAGTACCTATGGCAAAGTACAAGTAATCAATAACCAAACTCCTTAGAATTTACAATTATGCCAGACAAGCAAACCAAGTAACCAACACCACTGACATAATGGTGGTCAGGGGAGAGCTGAGCTCATTCAAAACCTGTCAGAGGTTTATTCTTTGATCCTTTCTTTAATTTTTTTGCTCATCCTATTTTATCTCCTCTCACACAAACTAAATTCTTGTGACATATCAAAAAAAAAAAAAGGTGTTGTGTAACACAGGTGCCCGACTACAGCCTCAGGCACCATGCAGCTGTCCGGGTGGGATATGGGGCCCACGTCTCATTGCCATTGACCCTTTTTATCCAGGGCAAGGGAGTATCATGGACAACCAGCAGCAGCACTTTGCTCTTAGGTGCTCTTTTCCTGTGCAACTCCCAGGTCATGAGCCCTGGGCTCGTGCAGAGCTGATGGGCTGTGCACAAATGTCATACATGCCACAAATGCCATGCAAATCTGCTGCTCTTGGGCGGGGACAGCACAGCTGTACTCCACCAGCTCAGCTTTACTTCTGAGAATGAACAACAAAGGGTTGGTGCTTCCAGTGCATACTGGATTTTGAAAGTGCTGATGAGCTGTCCTTAACATTAGCAGGTATTGCAGGAGGTGCTTTGTATGAAACAATGATCTAATGAATGCACAACAAGCTATTCTGCAACAGGTGAACAGGGTGTGGCAATACCTTGAGATCAAAAGAAGGTAAATGGCCCGGTTAGCAATAAAGATTGACCACTACAGTCCAAATAATTCAATTTAAAATACTGCAAATCTACTACTGCAGCATATAATATCATCATGACCGCATCTATTCTAACCCACTGATGACCTCAGGGAATTTTCAAGAATATTAGTTCCATTTTCTGTCCTTTCATCCCTAATGTATACAGGCAGACTTAGCTTTGTCTACAACAAGAGAAGCCATTATGTCTTAAGAAAAATAAAAGCCGCTCCCATTATCTGAATGCCAAATTTCATATAATCAATTCACCAATATCCCACACCAGCCTTTCAGCTGAGCTGAATGAGATGGGCTCAGATCTCTAAAATTACCAGAATAGAAGCAACATTTTTGTCAACTGCAACATGAAACCATAGCAAGAAAAACACAGCTGACATGCTAAAATATGAAAAACTGCCATTATATTTAAGGTGTTTCTAAGAAAGAATACTACATTTATTATTGTGAATAAATTTACAGATTTACTATCCATCAGGCATTAAGCTTTATTTTTCTGTATAAAATAAATATAGCTGGAGTATAAGATTATGACTTCACCATTATTTCGTAAAACCATTTAATTTAAACAGAGATACCTCTTCACCTGATACCATAAAACTGAAAACAGAACCATCAAATTATTGTTCAAAACAAGCACATCGTACATGAAGACAACATAGGTAGACTTGTGAAACTGCTGGGTTTTATCACTGTTTAATGATTTGTTGCACTATTTATAGGATAAACAATAAATCTTACATGATTCATCATATTAGCCAATAAATCATGAGACAAATCATTAGGCAGAGTGATAAAATCAAGTGTTTTAGAAATAAGTTAATCTATGATGCCAATGTCTAATCTAAACAGTTGCTTAAAAACCCTATTTACTAATCATTTTTACATAAAGAAAGACTGATGATTATGTAGATTAAACGTGTACTTATTCCTATAATCACATGTTCTGTGCTGGTCTGTTTAGAAAGAAAGAAAAAGATTAAAAAAATCCACCAGAAAAAAAGTAACATGATTTTCATTGTATTTGTATATTTACTGAGGGCTGTGTGCACCACTTTTGAGTCTGCCTTTGATTCCAGGGAAGAAATGGTTAATTAAAGCATGCTACAAGGTTGCTGGACAGATATTATCTTCAGCTATGAATCCCACAATATCTTAATTAACAATTTCATTAAGATGTGATGGCTGGTTCTAATGCTTCTTCATTCTTCAGTCTGAATATAACCCTGTAGACTTTCTCATTTGTGACAACTGTGTTTATAGCTTCTCTACCCATAGAGCTTCATGGCACTTTGAATTATGCTCAAGAGTATATGGGCATCACGTCACATTTGTGTGCCTGATATCATACATGACTAGCTGCGCTCCAGCCAGGGTCCTTAATGTACATTCTACAGATGGCCTACCCTCTGAATGCTTAGCCAGATATTAAGTTAAATCTTTTTGGAGTCAAGCTTGTTTCACATCAGTTATACAAACATATTGGTTCCTTTAAAAGGACAAATGCACTGAGAATAAGACAGGGAATCTAGGTAGGAAATCTAGGAAAATCATTTTAAATTTTAGTTTGGCCTTTAAATGTGAAAATCTCTTCCTTTGGGAATTATTTTTATCTATGGAGGGTTTGTTTTCATTTACTTAATCCCAAAGAGAAGGAGGTGAGCAATATTTATCAAGAAGTAGGTAAGCAGCATAGTTGGCTTAACATGAAAGAAACATAAACAGCAAGGCAACCCCCTTCCCTCTCAGTTTCTGTTTTGTTTTAAAATGCAACAAATCTGAAAAGATAGTGACAAACCAACATGATATTTTTCCAGCACAGGATTTTTCCTCAAAAAAGAAAAAAAAAGTGAACATTTGTATGCCACTGCCTATCCCCATCTATTTATCACACTGGGACTGTGTCATACCTACTGTAACTTTTCGATACAGCTAATCTGGAGAGCAAGGTATTTTCCTCTAACTGAAGGAATATGTTTGAGTGAAAAAAAAAAAGGCATCTGTAATTAGGGCTGTGACCAACTGTTTACCTGTCACACAGAGCTGGGTGAACAAACCCCTCCAGCTCACCAAGTACTCTGGGGAATGGAAAAGGAGGGGCAAGCCTGGCACTGGGAGGGGGGCTGTGTCAGGGAGGCTGAAGGGAGCAGAGGGGATATTTTTGGGTTTGTTGTTTTCCTGCTTTTTATCTCAATCCATACAGCATGTTTTGCAAAAGATGTCTGAGAGAAGACTGGAGAAGTGATAACAATTTGTGCAGTACAGGCAGAGGTTGTTCTTTTGCATTTTTGTTTGGTTTATAATGTGCAGGCATCCCATACGTGTAAAATGTAATAACCAGAAGCACACCAGAATCACACACCTTGTTATTCTTTTAGAACCTGCTTATCTTTTGCTTCACTTTTTCCTGATGACACTTAAGGTCAGATTTGTAAAGGCACTTAGATGCCTCATTTTATTGAAATCAATGGGAGCTAGGTGCTTAAACATCTTTGGTGAACTAGCTCTTTAATGTTTATTAACAATGCCTCAGATGAGGGTACATCCCAGAAAACATAATAATTGCCTACCTTTATTAACTGTGCTGTGTCAAGATAAGATAGAATCAAGTCCTCAGACTCATCTCCTCTCAATGATTTCCTAAATGAGATCAGTTCCCACTTACATCCTGAATGACCAAGGGTGACTAAATCAGAGCAATGAAGTATGTTTACGTCCTTGAAACTCAAATCATCTTGCAGACACTTCTCCCAGTGTTGCTGATTTGCATATTATCAAGTTTCAAAATGTTTGGTGTTTTTCTTCAACACTCAGCTGTAATCATTTTAACTATAAGAGAATATTTCCTTTTTATCTTCAGGTAAAAATGAAGCTTTTCCCCCCCCACCACCTTTAGGAGTTTAGACTCTCACATGTAAACTACAGAACTTCAGAGAGAACAGGATTATTTCCTTGTGTTTTTGCCCTGAAACTTTTAATCTTGTGGATTCACATAGACCTAGTTCATCAATGTATCTCACAAAGCAGGGGGATCTTCAAGTCAGCCACAAAAATACATCTCACATCTTTGCGGAGAAAAATTAAAAAGTCAGGAACTAAATGTTTCTAATAGAAGCTTCTGGATTACTGGTAAGGAAGAAGTAAGGAAGAGAAAGGGAGGGACTGTTTTCATGACAGACCTTCAGTGTTAATGGAGAACCTTTTCAACCACTAGAAAGGGCTTTGGATGAAGCCCCGAGCTGAACTTCCTAAGGCTCAAGCTCAGACATTCCAGCATTTCCCCTGGAAAGGCAGATTTCCATCAGTACTCATTTCTACCTTCTCCTTAACTAGGGACACCCTCAGTTACTGTATTCTTGGTGTTAACCTTTCTCCATTTGTGTCTCCTAGAAGCACAGCAGTCACATCTTCTCCTCTGGAAAATCTCTACTGAGTGTTATGTATCTTGTGTGTCAACCAGGAGGTGTCTATGCTTTCAAGAGAAAGACATACCTGCGCCTTTAAAGTCATTCAAATATATTTTTTAGCTCCTGTGATTCTCTTTTTCATTGCTGTCTCTCTATTTTCTACTCTCCTCTTTTCTCTGAATATTTTTGTCTCCAGTTTCTTTCCATTTTTCTGTATTTTTCCTTTTTCTATTCATTTCTCTCCAGCTCTCCCTGCATCTTTCTCTCCCCTCTGATCACTTTCAATTCTGCTTTTTATTTTCTCTGCTGAAAACTAGTTGATCAACATTAAACAAAGCAAGCACCAGTCACCACAGGTAAGACAGGTACCAAAATTTTAAGTCACTAAGCCCAATCCACATTCAAAGCCATTTGAAAACATGCCCGATTAAAAACTCTGAGGGTTTCTATTCTCTCTCCTCAGGTATCTTCTCATTCTACTTTCTGCTATCCCCATGCACTCTTTTCTTCTTACAGGGAAGATGCCAGAGGGAAGAGATATAAGCTGACAGTAGTACCCAATACAACAGACTGACCAGATAGTTTCATTTTACAATCAGAAATGATGGCTTGACCCACAGTGTCTTTGCTCATTCCCTCCTCTCCTCCCAGCCCAGTTCATGTCCTACAAAGAAACACTCAGATATGGCAACAGCTCTGTACCTTTACCTTGTTTTTCTTTTTAACTCCCCCCATAGTGAGGGACCAGGAGACCACCACTCTGGGCAGTGGGCATTAGATGCTAGTGCACCATGAGATGTGTTTAAGCCATTACCATTTGTCAGAACAGT